TATTTTATCATCATAATATATGTAAAAATCTTCAAGTCAACTCTGAGTGATGTTGTTTAGGTAAACAATAAAAGCTTAGAGAATATAATCATCCAGATTAGCGGATCAAAATAACTCAAACAAAATAATCCTCTTAACACAGAACTCTTCCCTGTTACAAGCAAATATTGAAAAAATGTTCGTAGCAGGTAACTTTAGTAAGTCATGTTACCACTCAATCTTGATTTTTGTTGTAACCCAGTTGCTAAGTGGTCAATAGACCAGCTTCATAAGTTGACGATCATAAGTTCAATCCATGATGGAGTGGTCACTGCTAAAGACACCTAGACTGCAGTTAAACAGCTCTCCATTTCTTCTTGGTATTTAAGGATTCAGTTTAGGATTTAATTTGAAATTAAGGATAATTTATCGCGAAATATTCAGTAAATTACTGGTATCATAGAAATGTTTTAATCACTGGGCTACCTAAATTTTCTATACATCAAAATGCAAAATATTTACTCAATTTCATGTTCTTTCAATCATCTAATCACACTAAAAATCGTGGTGTGTACTCGGGCATATTGTTTAAATAAATCCCTGCCTACTGCTATGAGTTCTTCTATGAAGCAATGGAAGAAAGAGCATTGTGGGGCTTTGAAGAGTGCTTCAGATGCATTAATATTGTCACGGATGATATAATATCGACTGTCGTATTATTTGAAGTTTCTGCACGGGGATCAAATAACTCACAATGAACCATGCCGATAATGGAAAAAATAATTAACTTGAAGATCCTGAAAGAAGAGAAAATATCATGCAGTAAACCGCTCTGAAAATTCTATCCATTTTATATATACCGTCCAGAATAAAGGTGTTATTATTATTAAAATATAAACAATTCACCGTACATCATGATGGCAAGCAGCCACAAAGTGGAATGGTGGTAACATTACAAACTTGACTGATAGAATTCAGTATGTACTAAAATCAAGAATTAGACACATTAGACTAGTTACTGGCTAGTTCCTGATCAAACTGTACAACGTATTGCTTATAAACACATCAGGGCGCTCACGCAACTTCCAAACTGTGTCTGTATATTTCCATTATCTCTTAACTTTTGATTTTATTGGCAGTAATATTTCTTATATGACTGGTAGTGGTGTTGAGTCATTCCTATCGCTCCAAGTGTTAGATAGACATTCGATGAACAAATGTTCAATGGTCAACTACTCCATCCGCCTACTTATATTAATTCATTTCTCTGAAGTGTAACTCTGTCCCAATATATTGTGTGATAAGGTGTCACTGCATGCACTGAGACCGCTTAGCTTTCCTCTAAACTATTCATCGTCATGCTATTGTGTCACTCTGTGTGTGTATTTTATTGATCAAATTTATTGAACTATGGATTGTAACCTTATCACATTGCTCAAATTCTACTATAACACATATATCACCGTCATTTATCCGCTTGTAGCGCTAAATTTGTTTTGTGTACGAAATACTGAATCAGTCCTTAAATCAAAATCAAAACACCAAAAATATACTTATGGTACAATTTAACATTGTTGCTAAACATAAAGAAACAAGCGGAAACACAAATTCGATTGTTATTGTGCTTGCAAAAACAAATACAGCCAAGTGTTAAAAAGACGGAGACAAACTTTTGAGGGAGTGTAATTTGAATAGTACAATTAGAAAACAAGATATTTGTTGAATGTTTGAATATTTTGAATTGTGGTTTAGCTTAACAAATTGGATTTAATGTATTTTTGTGATGAGGTGGGTGTTTGGGTCAGTGGTGTTTGTCATACAAATGATTCTCTTGTCATGGTAATTGTTCTGGAGTTTTTTTCCTTCACGTTCCCCAGTGGAACATAGGGCTTCAAACTAGTGGCTTGAAGTTTCTGTAGCAGTGGTGTTTATTTTTACAGGATGGGGTTGCTAGCCTCATGCCCAGCCTTTCCTCTTTACCAAGATTATTTCTGGCTTAGCGAGGTAAAGGAGTGCGTCTGTGGCCGAAGATCGAACCCCGGACCATGTGCATGGTTGGCGAGCGTCCTAACCGCTTTGCCACCGACGCACCAAATTGTTCTGGAGTGGGCGACTATTAATTACTTTTTTCTCGAAGTTTATTTGCTGTGAGCTTCAGTTAAGCTGGTCAATTGCTCACAGGTATGTACCAACTGCCAGCCAGTCATTAAATTCTCTCCAGAAATGGAAAACGAATCCAAAATTCTTTTTTTTTGATGTTGCAATAATAAGATGAACCAACGGAAGCCTAAGAAAGTCATTCCATGGAAAATCTACTTGGAATGGTCAACTAACAAGTATCTACATTTGGGTGCCCATTGAACGAAAATAAAATCTAATTGAATCCCTTGCCAGTCGAATCCACCGCAACTGAAGAACTAAATCTTCTGAAAGAAAGCTTCATCCAAAATAGATACCCACCAAGACTTATCGACATGAATATCAGACTAAAAGTCCAGAGGAACGGGACATTACTTCTTCCATAAGAGAAACTTTATATAAACCTCTATTTCAAGGGAGACTTAGCCTATGATTTTCTTTAACAGGAGAATTTCAGCATCTCTGAAAAGAATATTCTTCTGAGTGACGTTAAAAGTATCCTTCTTCAATAGTCCACTGGTCTACAGAAACCTGCAGGAAAAGATATTGCATCTGACCACTTCTACGTAAGAATAACAGTTTACCTGTCGGCATGAAGCCAGGTACATTGGCGATTCGACACGTATCTTGTCTTAAAGGCTATCTGCAGGCAGATAATAGTGGTTTCACAGGGTGAGGGGTGGTAATCCAACACCTTGTCAACATCGGTCATTCCGCCTCAACAAACGTCTCCTTCAAAGTATTCTGTAATGTGAAGCATAACCTACCAAAGGCAATAAGCTTGCGTCTCCTCCGTATTTTCGGAGGCTTTAGTCATTCAGTTAGGGGAACAAAAATTACGCATACTGGAGAAAATTATTCAACCAGCCAGCAACCAATTTGATTTGTATTTGCTCGAATTTGCTAACTCATTATAACTCTTGTATTTCTTTAAAACGCTGGAGCAATCCTACTAATCCTAAGTTTCTATGTGCATCCTGATTAAAACTCATTCATTAAATTATTCATCTCACGATATAACTCTACTGCGCTGATTCAACTTCTTTGTGCACTGACTAATATTCGCAACTGTGACTATGATAACTCATTACACATCAATTACCACCTTCTATCATGAGAAATTGTATATAAATCCGATTGTACAGCTAAAGAGGAGAATAAATTCGACGAAAAGACCGTCTTCTCTGAACTGTATGCTTTTTTTTTCATTATTTTCTAGGTAGGAATTTTTCCTGAATTGAGAAGTTTAATGTGCCTTAAGTGCTAACATACCAGCAGAGACTTTTTGAAGCCCTTGAATAATAGTAAACAACTAGAAATTCAAAACTTTCATAAATAATAACTGATATACATCACACAATATTGGTGGGTTTAATACCTCCGTAACCCAGTAGATAACGCTGGGTGTATTTTTAAAAGGAGGAGTATTATCCACTTGGAAGTGTAGCATTATATAATTGATGCATTCGAGATATAACGAAATGCACAAATGAGTGTCTTCTATAAATCACTGCTAAACGGTGTATCATCATGTCAGAAGTGGAAATAAAGTTGTGGAATTCATTTAGATATAAAACCATTTTGTGCGTCAGTAGTTCACTTTCAGAGTACTCGTTAACCATACCAAATGTGGTTGGGATTCGACTTTCGGCTTATGCATCCTTAACCTCGCTTAGCCGTTGGGAAGACTGGTAAAGTTTGGAGGTTGAGGGCGTGAGGCTACCAACTTCGCCACCTTGAAGAATAACACTACATCTGCCGTGGGTTCAAAGAAAACCCACCGTTATAGTCGGAAGGCAAGGAAAGGAAATATGATGAGCTGACATCATTTAGAGAACCATTGGAAAACCAGCGCTGGAATACTAGACAGCCAACTATTTTGTCGTAGTTTGGAACTCTTCAGCATTGCGCACCCACAACCAGGGTTCAAACCCAGAACCTTTTGGTTACAAGACTAGCTGGCTCGTAGACCATTAGGCCACTTGGATCCAATCCAATGGCTGATGAATTCTAACTTCTACCAGCCAATTTATGACATAGCACAACCACTTCGCAATGTCTTCTTCAATGAGTTACTGCCTCACCTTCAACCTGCTGCACCTTACTGGTCACGAGTTCTCACTAAAACCTTGTCTTGTAACCATAAGTTCCTGGGTTCGAACCTTTTGGATGCGTGCTGCTGAAGAGTCCCAGATTAGGACGGAACAGCTAGCTGTCCAGTACTCACTGCAGGTTTTTCAATGGTTCTCTAACTGATATCAGCTCATGATGAGATCTTCCAACCAATCAAACAAGATTCCCTACAAAACCAATACTTGGAAAGTGAAAAATAAGTATGAAGATGAAATTTAGAAAACATTCACCTATTTCGCTTTTGGTTCTAATCAGGCGAAGGAATCGTTCATTCAGCTGTACATCAAATTATGGTATTTGACAAATTAATCAACATATATGTCATCATAATAGTTTTTTTTTATAATATCTGTCAAGAAAATGATGTTAGCTAATAGATCAATCCAATGTGCTGACTTCATCCCGTCTGGGACGAGACAAGAGGAGGATCGTTTTATCCTCAGTGGGTGATAGGATTCCCAAACAGAGATTCAAACCAGGCATCTATCGTTTAAAACGTCGAAACCCGATCCACAATGACCTTGGGAACTCACTACATCTATCTATTGTGCAATTAGTACTACTTGACATCAGTTGAAATTATTTTTTCCTGTATTTTCATCGAGAATGCTATCATGATGCTTTCAGGCTAACATGATGTTTATTGTTCAGTGTCGGCTAACAGTATAAAGTTATTGAAGTAAAATCTTATACATATGTATATATATATTAACCGGATATAACAATTCATCATTTCTCTCTCGACTTACTTCATCCACAGATCTTAACCAATATTTACGTATTTGTTCAAATGATTCCAAATCTGTGACATCATAAACAATTATGAAACACTAATGCATGCCAAAATAACAAAAAAGAAAGGAAGAAGGAAAATGACTAAACACGCAAATAAATAAATAAATAAACACAAAAAAGTAATCACGTCAAAATGACAACTGACATATATACAACATGGATAATCAATCACATATCATTGATATCAGTAATCGAAAAAGTGTTTATAAAAGGCAAATATGGTTGACTATATTTTTTGTCCTAGTTTCAGGACTCTTCAGCAGTGAGCAGCATCTATCAGTTCATGGTGGAATTTACAAATCTAACAGCCAGCACAAACATCTGAGAGTTAACAGATAACTCTTGAAAATTAATCTGATGCTCGTAGTGACTGGCTACAGGACGAAGTTGCCTTGAGTACCAGTGATCCCTCGTGGTCAATGCGGTCCACCAGGTCAGGTGTAAGAAAGAATACTCACTGATAACATAGGCTGGAGGTCACTCTGAGATCACTAATTGATTAGGATTAGAATTCAGAGGTCACTTAGTAGGGTATCAGTAGCTGAGTGGTCTATGAGATCACCTTGTAGTCGGAAGGTTCTGGGTTCAAACTCTGGTGGGTGTATACCGCCAACGAATGCCAAACCAAGACGAAACAGCCATACTGTCCAGTACTCCCTAATGGTTTTCAGAGGTTCTCTAACTGATATCGATCCAAGGTCAAACTTGAAACAAATCAAATCTCCACAAGGTAACTCTTGTAAATAGACAACATCGGTCACTGTCTAGTGATCGATCAATATACCTGTCATAGCGTTGCAATTTCAGAGGGGATGTGAGTTCCTTCAAGGTTGTGGACACACCCTACTGACGAATACCTACAAGCGCGAAACCTACCTGCAGGGGTTCCTCGCAATTATTTCCAGCTTTCTGACATCAGTCTGACATGTACCACGATGTTGAGTCACCTACCTCGGTGACCACATTGCAAACTTAACCAATAGGATTCAACCGGCAACAAAACCTGGGACTAGACACATACATCCTGGATTCTACTGTAAGCCATCACCAAACAAGTAATCTTGAGGTATTAATTCTGATGCCATCTAGGCTTAGGTACGAAATAAAGCTGACGGATTTACTCCACATATATTAACGAGAAATTACAAACATGAATGAATAATCTAATCTTGGTTCAAGAAGTCATAAAACCGGCTAAATTGTACTAAGTCTCTTGCCTACACCAGGACCTGCTGCATCAGTTAGTGTTTACTTGTCGTTAACTGTAATATTCAGAAGGTTTATGTCCCCTGTCTAAGACTACCTAGCTAAACTAAAATTATTGCTTTAAAAATAGATGAAAAACCTCACTCACTTTAGCCTCTCGAAAATGCAGAGATACAATAGAATGGTATTGTTCTTGACCTGCAGTATCCCTGAAACATAAAAAAAAAATAACAATTAAAATAGACGGTTATAATGTTTATCCTTATCTAGATAACTTCTTCAAATTGATGTTATTGAAGATGACATGTGATTCTGAACCATTCGGGGATTCAAACCAGCGGCCTCCGAACTACTAATGCAGGATAATCTAACAGCTGAGCGGCAAGACTCAAATGCTAACTGGATCATCACTTCCCAGCAATCACCATACGTAATTTGTAGTTCTCACATGGATGAGTGGTACGTCTTACTGACGGTTTTCAGTAGATAGCTCCTTCCCTATGTGTTCTAGTTTATACTGAGCTGAGGAGACGCTGTTAAATGAAGGTCAGAGCCACTAAAATAATTCCTAATATCCTATAATACGAATTGCAATATGAAAATCAGTCATCCAAAGGGGAAATAGAGATGTGCGTCGGTGGCACAGTGGTTAGGACTCTCGCAAACCATGCACATGGTCCGAGGTTCGATTCCCTGCCGACGCACACCTGATATCAGTGGTCGGCCTGCGAAATTTGGGCTACAGATATCCATGCTGAAAATTCCATACTTGTACCAGAAATACAGTATGGAATCAAGCTGTAAATCAAAAAAAATAAAATAAAATAAAAACTAATATGGCTGTATGGTTCTGTCAACAGACTACGGACAAATAACTTTGAAAAGACTGTATCACAGAGTGGTGTCACCTAGTTTACTAAGCTTGTTAAAGTGATGAGTGAATTTTAAACAGGATTTATACTACACACAGCTAGTAATCAGTCTCCATCCAGTTGTGACGACAGGAGACAATGGACAGGCAACAGATGGTTTATTGACAAAATAAAGAGATATTTATAGATTTTTGTGTACATTACTATTAGCGTAATTGTTAGCAGAGAAGCAATGTCTTTTGATTGGTTGTTTTCTTGCTGAAGGTTATCCTGTACTGCTCGTGACTGTTTCTCAGAAAGTTAAGCCATATATCTGCGAATCGTATTTACACACGTTAAGTTTGCTGTGATTGATTGGTGAGTTCCTCAAGGTTAAGCCTTGTTATAGTGTTTTTTCTCGTGACCCCGATTTGGGACGTAACAGTGACATAAATTGTCTACAATGTTTACAGTTTATACCATGAAACAAGATCACTGTTTTAACAGCCTTACAATACTCAACAATGGAATTTATCCCAAAAAAATTAAATTTGAACGGACGTTAATGGAGCGCCTGTTGGCTCAGTTATGTGATATTCAAAGATACATTCAACACTAGAGTGTTCCACTTTCTATAGTGATCAAACTTCTTTTCTCATTATCGGATCATAAAAGCTAACTAATTACCCTGAAATAGTTTGATTGACGTCGTATACGCTGCGTTCTTGCTCAACAAAAATAAACACCTCAAACAGAAATTTAATTATGTTCAGTATACAACTTATTGCTGTCATGTGGGTGTCATTCTTAATTCTCAACGGACTCCCTCATTGCCAAGCTTTGACCAGCCCGGAAAAGAGAGAAGGTTAGGCATAAGACTTTCAAACACAACTTGTAAAGATAAACAACATCGTTAATACTGGAACTCTAAAGCTTGAAGCCCTCTGAGCCACTAGGAATTCAAGGTATGGAAGGCAAAAAAGAAGCAATTATTTTCTATCCCGCAACTTACCACACTTCCAGCTGTATACGATGACTGCCAACCGTGAATATCCTTTTTATCAAGTCAATGCCTAAAATGAAACAATTTAATAGTAGGGAAATTTATAATATTTTTCCAAAGGTTTTTTTGCATCTTGGTTAAAATGTTAGAAGAGTGAAAACAGATGTGTAAATAAAATGAATATGTTTGATGTCGTTGTCAATGGACGAGAACATTGAACGTTTGTTTATTGGAATTGGTAGTCATTGGCGGGAAACTCGAAAGCGCAAATGGTTCAATCGCGTATAAGTTCGGAGAAGACGAAAGAATACGAATAGAAAGTACATTATATTTAGTGTAAAACATTTGTTTATAGACTTTCAATTATCTTGATTTTAATTGCCAAAAAATACAACCTTCTAACAAGTACTTGTGTTTTGGAGATAATGTCGAGAAACATACATAGTAATTATCGGTTCGGAGCGTTTTCACAAATAATAAGAACTTAGGGTTAAGTTCTTTGACAGTCGTTGTGTCCATTTCAACTGGATGTGCTTTCTCGTTTGAAGATTTTTACATTAACCCCGTTGAAATAATGTCCACAGTTTCTTAAGTAATATGAATGTATGCATGTCAGGCCTTTTGAATGCTAATCTGTGATCATGTATACGCAGACGAAGAGGATGTCAACTTCAGCAGTTTATGCACCTTATTTTATAGATGCCTCCATTTCGCGATTAGATCACGTGTTTTAAATAGTATGGAGTAAAGAGACAGTATTGCACTGCTACAGCTCATCCAAAACGTTTCAATATTCTAACAGCAATTTCGGAAACGTTCTTCATGTAATTCCATATTAGTTTGTTTATTAGATGTATCACACAATGAAACTGTCGTCTTATTTACTGGATGACGTTTCGAACACAATCAAAAAAAATATATATATATATTCCAAATCACACAAAGGTGTCCTCTCTCACCTCTGCAGTAAAGTTCAACGGAGATGCTACTCAAAAGACAACCTAGACAAGCTCAGATGCATGTTGAAAGACACTAACTGGGACTTATTTACAGAACAAACATTAGATGAAACAATCACAAACACTACTGATTATCTTAAATTCTGTTTCGAAATATGTTGTCCTAAAGAAACATTATTCATCCGATTTGATCGCTTATCTTCGCCATATCTCAAAAAGCTACGTAGAAATAAAGAACTGTTGTTCAAAACTAATGATAAGCCTGGTGTAAAAAAGTTAAACATGCTGATAAAACTGGAAATAAAAAGACTAAGTGTTTTATATAATCAAAGATTTTTGTCATGTAAAACCCCTTCTAATTTATGGAAACTTTTCAAAGAAATTACTAACGGTAAGCGATGTATTTCTGTTCCATCTCTTAATGTTGACACTCTTAATAAATCTTTCATACGCTCTTCTGTTGATACCCTTCCAAATGATACAAATCATATTGACAATAACTTTAGTGGTTTTAATACCCTTGATGTGCTTAAATGTCTCCGGTCTCTTAAGCCTTCTCAAAGCCTTGGTCCTGACGGCATACCTGCCATTGTCCTCAGGAATTGTGCTGATATTTTGTGTTATCCTCTTACTAACATTTTTAATGCCTCTTTTTCCGGTAACGTTCTACCTTTTGCATGGAAAAACATTAAAATTATCCCTATACCAAAACCATCTTCTGGTTCTGATATTAAATTTCGGCCTATTGCAATTACTTCCCCCTTTTTAAAATTGATGGAAAAATTACTTTTACTTCGTCTTGAACCCGCTTTGAAACCTTTTAATGATCCTAAACAATTTGCATACAAACATGGTAGAAGTACCTTGGATGCTGCGGTTGTCTTATATCACAATGTTGTCTCTTGTTTAGACAAAGGTGCTAAATATGTTCGTAGTGCTTTCTTAGACTACACATCTGCTTTTGACTCTGTACCTAGGGGCCTTTTATTAAATAAGCTATCATTGACACAAACAGGATCCTGGGCTAAGAGTTGGTTGCATTCCTATTTTTCTGATAGAATGCAGTATACTGTATATAACGGCAAATCTTCTTCTACCTCGCTTACAAAATCCGGTGTTCCACAAGGTGCTGTCCTCTCTCCTTTTCTTTTTTCTTTCTTCCTACATGACCTACCTCATTCAAACGAAACTAACTTTGTCAAATATGCAGATGATCTGACTGTATCACTGCCTATCACTTCCGAGTCTGACAGCTCCAAACTTAATAGCTTTCTGTTGGACATCAACAACTGGTCCAAGTCAAATGGTCTTATATTAAATCCTTCCAAATGTCAGGTGCTTGACTTTACTTTCAAGCATCGACGTGACTTACTTGAACTAGTTAACTCTCATGATCCCTGTAGCATAGATGGCACGGAAATTGAAACCAAATCAAGTATTAAATACCTTGGACTAGTTTTTTCCTCTGACCTTTCATGGTCATCCCATATCTTATCTATCTCTAAGAAAATGTTTCGTCTTACCTTCTACATTAAAAAGTTAAGACAATCAGGTATCAACCAACCTTTAGTTTTGCAATTTTTAAACTCCTGTATTTTACCTATTGTACTCTACTGCTCTCCATTAATCTTTCCTGGGCTTCTCAAAAAAGATTATATCATATTACGAAGAGTATTAAATGCTGTGAGTAGAGCTTGTGGTCTGCCACTGCATGAGCTCGCTAATACTATAGTCGAGAGGCATATAAATTCCTGTACGAAATGGGCAAAGGCTATAATGTCAGACCCTCTGCACCCCCTTTATTCACACCTGTCCCCTTGTATCTCATCAGGTAGGACGAGAAGTCAATATAAAAAGATATATGCTCGTACTACTAAGTATAGAAATTCTACAATACCCTATTTAGCGCGTACTTTATGTGACGAAGACTCTGTTAGACGTGAAACTTACAAGTTACTATGTAATTAGCACAGTGAATCGACCCTTTTATCGTTCATCTTTCTGTATTTTATGGTGTTACACTTTCTATCGTTTAAATCGTTACTCTGCTATTTTATATTAGTTGGTATTACTATTATTACTACAATTTTGTACTTTATACATATTTTTCTCCGTATGGCACACAGTATTTTGCTACGTAGCTGCTACAACAATCGTTTTATTACTATTATGTATTGTGTATTTTTAATTTTTTTTGTCGTTTTTGGGTAAATTAGATGCAATATTGTACTGAATGCTGAAAATTCCTTGCTGTATCATGAGTACTGTTTTTGGAATAAAGCAATTATTATTATTATTATTATAAGTCTTGTTCATAATCATATCAGTTTTCATCACACGACTTCGAAACTTGAGTTTCATAGTTTACCTTGTTCTTTCCTATTTGTCGTCGTTGGGGTAGTAGAATTTTCCAGATATCTGCCTGGACAGGTGTTGAATCATTCGTATTTGCAGTTGATTCGATAAACAAAACTTATGTTATCAATCTCTCCCTCCATTCACCCTGTGACATTAGATTTTAAAACTGTCATCCTATCCCATTCATCCTATTGTATAGTTGTGTGTAACTGCATGCAGTGAGTGGCATAGCTGAACTATTCTCTAGATTTCTCATCTTATTCGGGTCGACCAATTTAGATTTTGCTGCTAGTTTTTGTGCGTCGGTGGCACAGTGGTTAGGAATCTCGCCGACCATGCACATGTTCGGGGTTCGAGCCCACGCCGGCGCACACCTGATATCTATGGTCGGCCTGCAAAATTTGGGCTACCGATATCAAATCATTCAAAAAAGTGGAATAAAAAAAAAAAAAAAAACTAGTCTAATTGCCCCTTTTCTGTTACTTTGATCTATGTATTTGACCTGACAATCATTGCGGGCAGGGTATTAGATAAACTAAATTGTTTCGTTTTAAAGGCTCCACAGGATCCACATTTAACCGACAAAGCTTGTTTCTAATTGAGTTTGTGGGTTTGAATGCCACTTTTACTCCTTCCTGCCTTGTTAAGAATTCTGCGTAAGCTTTCCAAGGTTCCTTCCTTGTATGGAATTACTACTGATGATTTAGATTCTTTATTGTTGGTGTCGTCATTAATATTATTATTATTATCACTATTATTATCATCATTATTAGTTTATTATTATCACTATCACTACTATCATTACTTATTTTATTTTTACATTTTCTTACATATTTCCTGACTAATTTATCCAAGTAATTATTCAAGGCTTCTTTTATGTGTATCACTTTCTATCTTACGCTTTCCTTGGTACTACTTAGTTTTTGTGCTCTGTCATTTAAAAATTTCACCAATCCTATTTTTACTGATATAGGATGGGACGACCGGAAGTCCAAATATCTGTTTGAATCTGTGGGTTTCCTGTAGACACTGTTGTTTAACTTCCATCTTCTTTCTTTTTTACGTTGCAATCTAACATTGTAAGTTCCCCTTCCTGATTTTACAATTCATAAGTTAAATGAACTGCCTCTACCTTCGATTTGATGTGCTCGAAAAATCTATCTATATCTTGTGTTCTAAATACAGTGAGTGTGTCATCTACATACCTCCACCATACTTTTGGGGTGGTGGTGAACTTTCAGTCACTATGTCATGCAGTAAATAATACTGTTTCACTGTATGATACATCTAATAAACGAACTAATATGGAATTACTTACTAAAGTGCAAGTTTTACACATATATTAATAGTTCTTCATGTAAGTTTGGAGAACTTTACTTGGTTTATAGAAGATTCGACTTTCTGGATATCCATTGTTGTGAAGGATGCTCATAAGATGACTGTCATGAGTTCATGTCTAGCCAGGAGTGCTGCAATATGTTCTGGCTCTTTCCATCATGTTTCGTCCTATTCAGCGCTCATCAGCTGAATTTATCCATATACCTAATAAATTATTATGTGCCTACTGAGACTCGAACCCATTGTCCAATACCAAGGCGTTTTCTATTAGGACAATGAGCTACCAGTTATTTTACTTTATTCTGATATCTTCTTCTAAATTTCGCTTGATCTGTATTGATTTTTATCATCCTGTCAACTTTTCAAAGTGATTATTTTAAAAACCTTCTGGGTTTTACGTTCAGTATACTTTTTTTTAAAATTTGCATAATATCTATCATGTAAAGTAATTCTACACTGACCAAAAACAAAATTTCACAAAATTGTCAGATGTTCAATATATACATGTGATACCGATAGGAATGTTTTAATTTTAAATCATCAAGGAGTCTTTTAAGGTCAAATTATATAAACATTATTTCATAGATAAGTGGAATATATAAAGCGGCTGAAATAAAGCTATTGATAACTAATAAAAATAACCATGTCATTGCGTTAAGTTGACTGACATTCATATAGTTTTATTAGTTAAAATTGTACTCAAACGAATTAATCAAATAGGGTAACGGATGTAAGATTCAGCGCATTTCATGCTTTGTTCAATAATAATCACTTTTTCCCGACTGATAAATATTATGTGTTGAAAGTGATATGTGGATAATCTCTGATTCTAATCCGGCCTGTCTTCTCAGGAAGCTTCTGTTGAACATATCGACTTATTACCTTCTTTGACAACAGATGATAGAGTTCGACCTCTAGTTTCCAGTTCGATCACAGATTGATGTCAGTTAGAGAACTAGGGAAAAACAGCAGGGAGTACTGGACAGCTGTTTTGTGCTAGTTTTGGGACCCAGCCTTAGTACGCAGTCACTTCCATGGTTTGAGCTCAAAACCTTCCGTATACGAGGCAAACTCGTAGACCATTCAGCCCCCACCACTCGCCTCAACGGCCCATGAATTCCAGCTTCTACCAATTCGTGATTTTAGCCTGACCAGCAACCGATGCCGTCGACTGAGTGGTGTACGAGCTTGCCTTACAACCGGAAGGACCTCTGTCTGGTTAAGAACCTTCCCGCGCACTTCAACAAAAGCATTTTCCACTACTGGTTGCTGGCAGTAATAGGCAGCTAGCTGTTTCGCCCTAGCTTGGGACTCTTCATCAGCACGCATCCATCACGGGGAGCTCGAACCCAGGACCTTCTGTCTACAAGCATTTTCATTAACAAACTTTTATCAACACCTATCCATTGTTCAGATGACTGAAGGCAGGTAGCCAAAAGCGATAAGCAGCAAGGCGCTCCTGGTGGCAGCGTTCTGGTCAATAAAGTACTGCTCAATATATATGCAGAAGAAAACAGAGGTGGATCAAATAAATGCTAAGAAAACATTCAAGTGACACACAAGGTCACATAGTGTAAACTGAGTGAGAAGCGATTCGTTTGTTGAAATTAATATCAAAGAACTTAGTGGAATCCAGATATGCTGCTGAAATCCTATGTTCCACTGCGGACACAAGAAACGAATGATGGGAAGCCGTGATCAGTAGGACACAGCAGGTTGAAGATGAAGCAGTAACTCATCGAAGAAGACACTGCGAAATGGTTGCACTCTGTTGTGAATTGGATGAAGCCACAATTCACGGGCTGGCGATAGAGTCGGGTCCCAGTGCCTCAACGGTCTACTAACTAGCTCGCCTTGTAACCATAAGGTCCTGGGTTTGAACCCCGGTGGGTACGTACTGCTGAGGAGTCCCAAAATAGGACGAAACAGCTGGCTGTCCAGTACTGCCTGACCGATTTTCCTATAGTCCTCTAATTGATGTCAGCTCATAATGAAATCCTCAATCTAGTCAAACAAAATCCCTACAAAACCAATGTATGAATAACAGTAATGTAGAATGACGTAATAGTAAAACTTACCTATCGTTGATATTGTTGTCTGATAAAATGTTTCCCCAACAAGTGTTCTAAGTATAGATGTCTTTCCAACACCAGAATTACCCAACATTAGAACTTTAAAGTGTGCATCAAATCGTTGTTCACCTGATCCTCCACCAGTTGTACCATTCACAGAAATTAATGGACCATTTTTTTTCAGCTTCTTACCGAAACCATTTTGTTGTATAATTTTGTTAACATAAACATTTTGTTGTCTTGATGTTTTACGTATAGGAGGTGTTGAATGACCACCATTGGTGGTTTTACCATTCATTATCTCTGAACTATTACGACCACTTCCACCAGTGCCACCCCCTCCGCTAACGCCACCGCCATAAACGCTTTCATTTAGATTAAATCCGTATGACATAATCACTGATTAGCTGGACGACTATTTAATCAATACAGTTTGTTTGTTTTCTTTTCTTTATTCAAATTTTGATTTCAAGGATTCAATTGTTATTTTAATCATTTAAACATATTGGCTGTTTCTTTATTTTTTTTTTAAATTAAATATTCAAAAGTTCGATCTTGGAATTTAAATTAATCCATTTAGAGGAAATTACGATCAATATCTGTGGAAGAGAAAAGAGAATGAAATAATGGACAGGCATAAGAGATTGAAACTAATAGTCGTTGGTTCAGCTGTAGAACATTCACAAACCACACACAAGGCTCAGGGTTCGATCCTCTGATGATGCAGTTTTAAACCCCTTAAGCCAGCAGTAATGTGGTGGTGAGATACAGACAATGTGTTCCAGTGGAGAATTATTCTCACATATTCTCACGGTTCAGTACTGCATAAGCAACAGAATACTGTGTAGATATGATAGAGAAGATTTGTAACTCATGTGGATGATTTCGATGTGGTTGTGCTCTCTGAGCTAGCTGGATAGTTAATTTGCGAAGCTTTCATCGCCATACTAGGTGACATCTTCAGCGAATACTTCAATTTGTAGTGAAGTGAGCTTTTAGATTTCTCCACGAGTTTATTAATCATCTTTCCTGGTCATCTTGAACGTGGTGACTGGCTGCTTTTGTGTGTTTTCACACCTTTTAGGCTACTTGTATTGGAACTGATTGTTTCCTTAACATAAACTTTGACCCTTTGTGTGTGAGGTTTCTTTCTTATCGGTTGATAAATTTTGTCTATCTCGATGTGTCTATCGATTGGCGATTAAATGAAATACCAGGCTTCTAAAAATTCTCTAGGATTCTTGTTGTTTCCTCTGTCTAATATCTGAACTCTGGTTGTCCCAGTCAAATTGATGTCCGTGGTTGTTTGTATGTAGTGTGGCGATATGAGGGAGTGGATATCACGTCTTTTGACGGCTAGCTTATTTTCATGGATACGAAGACGAAGGGGACGTCCACTTTGCCCAATGTAGTCGTTTTCGCAGTTGTTACAATTTATTTTGTAGATGATGTTGGTTTTATCTTCCTTTGTTGTTGTTGCGTCTTTTGGTTGACACAGAGCTGAGTGAAGCGATTTTGTTGGTTGGAATGTGAAAAAAACAGAAAAAACAACCAATCACCACATTCAAGGTGAACAGTAGAGATGACTAATACACTCGTGGAGAAATCTAAAAGCTCACTTCACTACACATTGAAGTATGCGCTGAAGATGTCATCTAGTAGGGTGATGAAAGCTTCGCAAATTAACTATCCAGCCAGCTGAGAGAACACAACCACATCAAAAAGAATGCTGTGTATATTTGAACATTCTATTTCATATATTTTAATATAATCTTAAATCACACGCGCAGTGATTGGTTAACGAATATAAACTGCTCATAGATATAAACAGAGGTTTGATCAATTGAAAGTATACCTCGGCTTCCGTGTCTCACTTTCTGTTGTTGCATTTGGCGTCGCTGTCTGATGACAAATGGGAAGCCCATACCCTGCAGTTTTTGAAGAAGAAGAAGGAGACATATGGATCTTTTGGCATGACTTTAAGTCTGTCGCAAAGTTGAATAGCGTTCAAGACCCATCAGTGGTAAGGCTGTTACTTGGAACGCCGCTAGGAGCTCGGATGACGACAGTATAAGATAGTGTGAGTCTAAACACGAGGAAATACGCTCCAGGGTCACACAAACTACTTTCAGATAGGGAGAAGAACCATACATGGTCATCGCGAGATAGGGTCACGTATATACCATCAGAAATGCAAACATAGAGAAGCGGTTGAAGATCAATGAGCTCCATAACTCGATACAACAAGATAAGTTAACAAAGCCCCCAACATCAAGAAAATCGAACCTACTTCGGTCTAAAGTATTTGATGAGGAGACGAGTGTGGTGGTGTTATACGGACAATATGTTCTAACGGAATATTATTCTCAAATATTCTCACGGTTCAGTACCGCATAAGCATGTCATTTAAGGTGAGCCAAAATCACACGCTCACTGATTAGGTAATCAATTGAAAATATACCTTGGCTTCCGTGCCTTTGCTTCTGTTGTTACAGTAAGGCCGCTGAAGAGAGGAGGCTGAGTGCGAGGATAGAAACCTTAGCCTGTAGAAATAAAGGCAGTGCTACAGAAAGTTCTAAGCTCTACTTTGAGGCTCTATGTTCCACTTGGAACGCTAAGGAATAAAAAATTCATTGGTCTAACTAAATCACTTATTCACTAATCCACTTGTATTGGTGGCTCAGTGGTGAAATACTCACATGTCATACAGGTGATCCAGTTTCCATTCTTAGTAGGCGCACTCCAAAACCTCTCCTAATTAACAAGCTAAATAGTAAGCCTGGGAAGAGAGGTTAGTTTAGCCTTACTCAGCAAAAAATAGCACCAGTGTTATTGAAAATTAAAGGCTAAAAGCTGAAGTCCTATTTTCTACTCGAACTCAATGTAATTGTACTCTGTAAGAAAGACGGTGTAACTAGGAGGCTGCCACTGTTTTTCCAGACAACACAATCAGTACAAACAAATTTCAGTATAAAATGGATATCTGTAAGGAGTGCGTTAATTAAACACCATGTGTCAAAACTGGTCATTCTATCCTAACTTCTGCCTCCTTCGAAGTTATCTACAGAGTGAAGACAAACACCATGACAGAGACAATACGCTTTCGTCTACTTTGTATTGCTCAAACTTTAGCCATTCACTTAGAAAAGCCACTATTGTGATAGCAAACTTGTTGATCTCTACTCACTTGATTTCTGTTTCTTTCTTTGTTTGCCTAACTCTTGGTGACACTTATTTTTCTATTCAAGTGTTGGTTTGTAGGGATTTGATTGATTTGTTACAGGATTTCATCATGAGCTGACATCAGTTAGAGAAACATTGGAAAACCTGCAGGAAGTACTAGGTAGCCAGTCGTTTCGTCCTAGTTTGGGACTGTTCATCACTATGCACCCAGCACAGAGGGTTGGAACCCAGAACCTTCTGCTTAGAAGGCTAGAGATCTCGTAGACCCAATTCAATGATCAGCCTATCGACGACACAGCATGACCACCAACCAATGTCTTCGACGAGTATTTGTCGTCACACCCAACCTGCTGTACCCTAATGGTCACGACTTCCCACTACAACCCAGATGACGACCTACTTGAATAGGGGGGCAGTTGCTGATGAGAATCTCATCGATATTCAAGTGTTGGCTTTTTGTTTTTCACTACAACTCTTACGTTGCTCCATATTTTCCCTCGTTTTTTTGCATGCACATTCTGAACACAACTCATTCATTAGATTATTCATCTCATGACGTAATTCTAGTACATTAATTCAACTGTTTTTATGTATAAGCTATTAGTGGCAACCATGTTTCTGACAAGCTATCAGTTTCGTTACTATTCTCTCTCCTGAAAAACTGTATATAAATGCCATTAAACATCTAGATAGAAAAATGAGTCCTCCAAAAAAGCCTCTTCTTTGAACTGCTTGTTTTGTTTCTTTCATTAATACCTGGATCTGGATTATTCATCAATTTAAAAAGTGGATATTCATGAAACTACATCAAAAATTATGCCTATATACGACCACGTCGGCGGACGAACTCAAAATGATTCAATGAAAGCCAAGGGAAACTCCTCTTCTTCATATGTGAAGAACATTTCCGTAGACACTTCCAGACTTTCATTACCCATAAACCAACGAAATCACTTCAATCTATACTACACTAACTAAGCGATGCGATAACAAAACAAAGACGAAACAAACTTCGTCTACAAGACAAACTTTAATATCGTTTCCTGAGTCGTGAACAGAAACCACTAGCTAAAACACAGCATAACAATTCCCTTACATCAATAAATGCCGGCGACTAAGGATGCCAATTCGAATAGAGAAACCTACACTTCCTACAAGACTGATATTATTATTTATTATTTTATTTCTATGCATTCTCAATGCAACATAGGCTGGTTTCAAACTACAGCTTTGAAGTTTCGGTAGCAGTGATTTTATTTTTACGGGGTAAGATTGCTAGTCTCACGCAAAACCTCCAGTTTTTTGCCGGGCTTATTACCAACTAAGCGAAGACGCACCGGTATAGACACACTCAAGCAATTAGAAAGCAGTCTCTTAGACAGGACGTTAAATATCAAAACAATCAATACCAACATACAAATTCTCAAAGAGGATAAGAAAATCTTCGGGGATAACCCAATAACTTCAAAATCAACCGTCAGCTGAGAATTCTAGAAGCTCACTTCAGTAAGCACTGAAGATGTTTAGAAATAACACTACAGTTTCGTAATTAACCTATCGAGTTAATAGAATACAAGTGTACCGATATCTTCATCATTTCTATTGTATCTCTCGCCATCCGCCAAACAATAAAACAATTAATATTCCGATCAATTCAAGTAGCGCTTGATTTAGTCTTTATGTTCAAGTATCATATTGGTAATAGCAGAGAGAGTCTTACATGCAAAGAGAAAGGTTTTGTATTCATTCATCTGTACATCCGTAGGTGGAAGAATATATTAAAGGCAGTATGATATAAGTTAGTTCTATTGATTTCAACTTTCAGTGTACTTTGAACTAAGAGTGTATGTGTATACATTGATAGACTAACCCAATTTTATTCTTTAAAAAATGGCACAATTGAATAAATACGAAGAAAACATGTTTCAAAACTAGATCACATATTATTTCTGTTATCTAATCTGACTGACTGCCTCTGTGGCACAGCGGTAGAATGCTCGCCAACCACACTTCACGTGGTTCGGAGTTCAATCCTCGGGCACAGATGCATTCGCGAACCTCTCTAAGCCGGTAATAATAAGACTGGTAAAGAGGGAAGGTTGGACATGAGACTAGCAACCCCATCCTTTAAAAATAAATACCACTGCTGAAATAATAGAAAAGATTTGTAACTCAGGTGGATGATTTGCAATTAATATTGTTCTCTGAGCC